AATCGAGTGTTTACTATTATGACAATAGTAAACACTCGATTTTCAGTTAAAGGCAGTTTAACTGCATTATTGACACACTATTTTCCTATTTAATACTGTAAAGTTGCTTTGACACAATCTGTATTGTTAAAAGCACTATATAAATAAAGGTGACTTGACATTGTCTCTGAGCATTCTGGCGTAATCCATGCTCTCATCTGAATTGAGTCCACAATTGTCCCCAGAAAGACTACTCACTGTCTGGGAGACAAAGAGCTCTTGGTCAAATTGATTTTCAACCCAAGACGCTGTAGGTGGCTGAGCAGCAGCTACCTGTGAGCATTGAGTTCCCGTTCTGATCTGGCTAAAACCAACCAATCGTCGAGGTACTTCAGAATACGGATTCCCATCTGTCTCAGAGCCACGTCTATGCACTTGGTAAATGTGCATGGGGCCAGGGAGACCCCGAATGTCAGAACTGTGTATTGATAGGCCACTCCCTCGATTGCAAATCTCAAGAATAGTCTGTGATGGGGGGATATCTGGATGTGAAAGTACGCATCTTTCAGATCCAAACACATACTTGCGCGAGGATCTGTTTCAAAGTTAACATCTTGAATGGCCATCACATGAGTGAGCGATTCAGATGTCTGAGATCGAGAATAGGTCTGAGCCCGCCAACTTTCTTGGGAACGAGGAAGTAGCGGCTGTAGCAGCCTGACTCGCTGTTCGCTAGAGAAACCATATCAATGGCTCCTTTTGCAAGCAATGTCTGTACTTCGGACCGAACAACGTGAGCTTCGTTGTCCCATACCGAAGTGTGAATAATACCTCTGAAGCGAGGCGGTCTGTGAGCAAACTGAAGTGAGTAACCTCATTCTATGTTTTTAGAAGCCAACTTGACACATCCAGGATGGCTTTCCAAGCCTGCAGCCGGATGGCAATGGGTTCTATCTTTCTGAAAAGTAGTTCACTGCACAGGGCAGGGAACTGACATTCGTGATATTGAGGAGAGGAGAAACGCTCTTTTTGTGAATATATGGGTCTGCTATAACAGCGGTAGCTTGCTTGGGCGTGTGCTGAACTGACAGGATGGGCCCAGCTTGAATACAGCTTCCATCGCTCTATGTTGAGCGGAGGGATGTAGAGTAAGGGCAAGCTTTCTTTGAGGGAGTTCCGGCCTGGGCGAGAACTGACCCTCTCCTCTTTCTCTCTGCAAACTGATCAGGATGGCTTCTGAGGCTCAGAGTCCAATGTCACTCTAGGGCGGAGACCTTGGTGCTTTGGAAACGGGTACCGCTTCTCCATCCGAGGGCACTTCCAGAGCCTGCGAGCAGCAGCTGAGCTTCTTCTTCTTTTTCTTCGGCTTCTTGGTCACAGAGTCAGGAAAGAGATGATCTTGTCAATGATGGAGAAAAATTCTGATGAAATGGCTCTCTGAGCCAACTTATATAGCAGTCGGCTCCTCCCCTTCTGGCGGGCTTGAGCGTCATTCATTTGTGCAGCTACACAAATGTTAACAAATCAGGCTTCTGTAACTGGAGTTTCCCCTAGCGTCAAAACACTGATGCAATGGGAGAGACCCTTCAATTGCAACCTATAGTGAATGTTAGGGGAACATTCAGTGTTTGGTGGGTAAGAACTGGGTCCTTTGTTCACTTAATTTTACCGCTGATTCACTTACAAACAATGCACAATTCGACACAGGATTTTCAGAAATATTTAAACTGAAAGATGATGCCATGCCAACTAACTTGTAATGATTGAGGTGGATCAGACACATGAGTATTTGTTCATCAAATAGTGGACAATACCACACCCCAACAAGTAAAACATGTGGTAGGGAGAACCAGGCCTCTGGTTACCGTGGTAACAAAGACACACCTCAAGATAAGATTGTTTTACAACTCAAAGGAATGTAGAGGTTTCACTCTAAATTCACTTTGAAACAGACAAATGTACCCTTGTACTATACAGTCCATCCTAATTCTATCTATCTCCTTCTAGATATAACCACTTGAGAAATGTTGGGACATGTACCCAGTTTTCCCCATCTGATTATTTTTCCACTTATAGTGTTTTTCTTATGTATTGATACGAACTCTTTTAAATGAACATTTTAGAATTGCATACTATTGTTAACAGAGATCACAGGTATGCCATATTTGGTATCTTTCAGCTGCATTTTTAATGGTCTAAATGTTCATTTATATTACGTTGATACCTATGGAATGTATTAGTGTTACCAGAATCTTTAATAGTTTCTTCATCAACATCCAATCAAAGTTCATATGCAAAACTTATGCCTGAGGACAAAGGGTCGTAAACTTTCCCTCAGAAGGTACACTTTCTCACTGGCTCAGTCGCACTTCCTGAAGGGTGGGACATCCTCACAGTTTAAAAGATCACAAGATCAGAGTTAAACAGAAGTTTTCAGATGCAGAAACTCAGGGCAAGATGCAGAGCAACCTCCTCAAGAAGCCAACATAAGCTTGTGCCAGACTTCGACCTAGTTTTTCCACTTCAAGATCCTCTGACTCAAACTGGTTCTTTTTCATCAACCAACTTTAGCAAAGATCAACTTGAGCCTTCAGATTGCATCAGGACTCTCTTTCAGACAGACAAGACTAAGTATCAAACTGAGTCTTATTAATAGATACATTAAGTATCATTTGCTGCACCTTTTACAAAGGTGTGTTTGAACTAAGAAGCTGATGTTTCCTTCAGGCTGTATATCTGCTGAATATTAAATTTTAGCATAACTTCATGCTTTATTTCTTTTCTCTTTACTGCTTAAGCTTTAACACATTTTCCTATGCCAACTGTATGTGTGTGTGTGTGTGTGTGTGTGTGTTAGACTAGTTCAAGTGTTTGCGTAGTTAATAAAGTCTTACTTGTATCACACTTGAGGTTTTTCATTGTTTGCTCATAACTGGAGTACCTAATCATGCAGATTTTTGCTACATGCTCTGAGTAGTATTGTACAATAGGAAAGTTATTTTCCTTAAACAGGAAAGTAATGTTCTTAGAATTGACAGACAGTTGACACTGAGATGTCAAGTAAATACTTTCAGCGGATCTAAATATTTATAATTAATCATAACTTCACTGAAAAAAAATGTTTCATTCATCCAATTAAAAAAAAATAGGGTAAGGATTCACATCTACAGGTGCATCTCAATAAATTAGAATGTCATGGAAAAGTTCATTTATTTCAGTAATTCAACTCAAATTGTGAAACTCGT